AGGAAGGAAGGAAGGAAGGAAGGAAGGAAGGAAGGAAGGAAGGAAAAGAAAAACTTTTCTGAGTGTGGTTGCTCACACCTATAATCCCAGAATTTAGGAGGATGAAGGAAGATGCAAGTTCCAGACCAGCCTGAACTACTTAGTAGAAGAGCTTATTTCAAAACCAGAAAGAAAGGGAAGACCTTTTTCTCCGTCCTCTGGCTCTGCGTTTCTTCACGTTGACTCTGGGCTCAGGCAGACTCTCCCCTCTGTCAGTTGTGGCGGATAAAGCTGCAGAGACATGAGCACTCCTTCCGAATGCTCAAGCAGAGTTCTGGAGCTGTGACTCGTGTTCTGACATAAACTATGGCCCAGTTCAGAATCAGTCACTGTGATTGACCACTTCCTGCGGGCTGAGGCTTAGTCAACTCCACTTAGTACCTGGCCAAGGGGTGGGAAGTAGTGGAGGGCTAAGGGAGTTTTCCCTAGAGCATTTTCCAGGGAAAGGAAGGCAAGCACTAGTTCATCTGATGAAAGGCTGGCTGGATGCCTGCCCCCTGCATCTGCCCTCATGGTTGCAAAGTGGCTGCTCAAGTTCCAGGCAGCACAGCTGGCTGAAGAGGAGAGAGCCATGCCTAAGATTCTCCCTTAAAAGATGCTCCCACAGGGCCTATGGTACAGATCTGTAACCACAGATAGATGCTCGGGAGGTTGAGGCAGGAGGATTATAAGACCAGCCTGGTTTACAGAGTGAGTTCAAGGCCAGCCTGGGGACTTAGTGGGGCCTGTCTTAAAAAAATCTGAGGAAGTAGCTCAGTGGTCAAGCACTTGCCTGGTGAATGTGAGACCCTGGGTTCAGCCCTCAGTACCACACACAAATAAAGAGGAAGCTTTTTCTCAGAAGTCACTTGCAGGCTTCCCATAAATCTCACTGGCAGCTGTGAGAGAGGCTGCAAACAGTGACAGAACTGGGTGCCTGTAGGGGGCTCTCTCTCCCTAAGGGACAAGAAGTGGCTTCTTGATACACAATAGCAGTCTGAGAGTTCAGCTGGAAAATCAGATTTTTGTTTGTTTGTTTCAAAACAGGGCTTCTATGTGTAGCCCCGGCCATCCTAGAATTCCCTAGGCATCGAACTCACAGAGTTTCACCACGCTAACACCCCACAGCTGAGCCCCATCAGTCTTGGTCTGGATCTTCTGTAGCCTAGACTAGCCTGGAGCTCTCACTTCTGCCACAGCCTCCTAAGATTATGAGCACACACCACTACACCCAGCATCCCCGCCCCAATAGTTAGACTTGGTCAGTCTTACGAGTTAAACAGTATATTATCTAAATGTGCATGTCTCTGACAGTTAGTGAGGTTGAGCATCTTTTCATCCATGGGTTCCTGTGCTACCCCTTTTGGAGAATGCCCAGTTGTCAGTGTGGTCCATTCCTCTCTGGGGTTGCTTAACCTCTCTTCATGTGTCTGCAGATCCTCAGTGCCTGCTGACCAATGGCAAGCTGCCACTCTGGGCAAAGCGGCTGGTGAGTCTACTGGAAGAATGGGAGACTTAGTGACTGGCAGAGAAGGAGCCCACCAACCCCTCCCCCTCCCGGAAGTTCTTTTTTCTTCCCATGTCTCCTTTCCTTGGAGAACCCGGTCATCTGCCCCATGCCTGCTGCTGTCCTGGCCATTGGAGGTGGGGCAGGGAGCACAGCAGATTGTCTAGGCCTTCCAGGCCTGTTCACCTGTGAGGGAAGTGGGAGAAGAGGAGCCACATTAAACAGATACGCCACGTTACATGTGGGAGCAGAGAGATGCTAGCGAGCTAAATAAAAGACTGTCCGGGGCGCCAATTTAGTGCCAAGTGCCATCTCGTGACGTCTCTCGGAGCCTAAGAAGGTAGAGTGACAAGGAACTAAGCCAGGGTGAGCGGGCAAGAGGCCTAGAAGAGAGGCTGGGGCTGGGCTGAAGGAAATGGTGAAGTAGAGGGATTGCAAAGGTGGGGCCATTCGGTTGGATATGAGGGACAGAAAACTACCAGCATAGTGTTAAAGTGAAAGGATCGTGTTGACATGGATGCGGGACAGGCTAGGAACTGGTGAGTAGAGGCTGGAAGCAGGACCCTAACCTCTAGCCAGATCCAACTTGGTGGTATAGACCTGTGATCCCAGCTACTCAGGAAATTGAGGCAGGAGGATCATAAGGTCAAAGCCTGCTTGGGCTGTAGAGTGAGGTAAAGACTATCCCAGGCAACTTAGTAAAACACTAAGTCAAAAAAGTAAGGTGGGGCCGGGCGGTGGTGGTGCACTCCTTTAATCCCAGCACTCGGGAGGCAGAAGCAGGCGGATCTCTGTGAGTTCGAGACCAGCCTGGTCTACAAGAGCTAGTGCCAGGACAGGCTCCAAAGCTACAGAGAAACCCTGTCTCGAAAAAAAAAAAAAAAAAAAAAGTAAGGTGGGTACCTCGTGCACCCAGTGTCTGGGAGGCGGGAGGATCAGGATCAGGATCTGATCTTAAGTTTTTTTTGTTTTTTTTTTTCTTTTTGGTTTTTCGAGACAGGGTTTCTCTGTGGCTTTGGAGCCTGTCCTGGAACTAGCTCTGTAGACCAGGCTGGTCTCGAACTCACAGAGATCCGCCTGCCTCTGCCTCCCGAGTGCTGGGATTAAAGGCGTGCGCCACACCCGGCCTCTGATCTTAAATTTAAGAGCCTATCTGAGCGAGTGAGTGTGGTGGCGCACACCTTTTATCCCAGCACTCAAGAGGCAGAGGCAGGCAGATGTCTGTCAGTTTGAGGCCAGCCTGATTTACAGAACTACTTCCAGGACAGGCTCCAAAGCTATAGAGAAACCCTGTCTCGAGAAACCAAAAAAAAAAAAAAAAAAAGAGCTGATTGTGAGTTTAAGGCCAACCTGGGCTAGATGAGGCTCTGTCTCTTACAAAAGAATAGGGTTGGGGATATAGCTCAGTTAGTACAGTGCTTGGGAGCACTGATGCAGCCCTAGGTCCAGTCCTCAGCACCATCTAAGCCAGGTATGTACTACACATCTATAGTCTGCACATCTATAGTCCCAGTACCAAGGATAGAGGCAGGATTGGGTCATTCTCTGCTACCCAGCAAGTTCCAGGCCAGCCAGGGAAACATGAGAACATGAGACCCTGTCCCAAAATCAAAGTTATAATAAGTGATAACAAAAAGAAAGCCAGGAAGCTGGTGTTACAACTTGGAGAGGCCTTGGGTTAATCCTCAGTACTATAGAAAGCTTATTAGTCTACTTCATCCCCCAAGGCCACACCTAAGGTCAAGGCCTGATTGCTATGCTAGCCCTTGGCTCTGCTTATGCAGGCCCCAGACTTCTCCTTGCCCACACATTATGGTTATTCAACAAACTTTGAGAGCATGCTTACTCCATTCTAAGCCCTTCTGCAATCTCCTTTTATTTTCGCTTGTCTGGAAATAATTAGCTACTATGTTCTGTTATTGGGCTGTCTTATATTTTAATTTTTCTGGAAAATAATTTTATTTTATATTATGAAACCATAATAAAGTTATTTTTTTATTTAAAAAAAATCTTCACTGAAGTAGGGGTGTTTCCCATCCCTATTTCACAGACAGGAAACGGGCTCAGAGAGGCTAAGTGCTTGGTCAGCTATCTCCCAGCTGGGTGTTAGAATATGTGACATAATGCTCCCTCTCCGGCAACAGCTTTGGTAGGAGGCGCAGTTGGTAGAGTAGGAATGGGGTGTGTTTGGGTGTGTTTGAGTGGCGGAGCTAAAGAATTTGTTGGTGAAATACAAGTGAAGCGTGAGTGACAGACTAAGGGGACGAGAATGATACCACCGTTGGGGGGCCTAAGAAACTACCGCAAATCATTGCGGTTGGCAAGGCTTTGGGGGGGTCAAGTTAAGGGGAATCCAGAGCAGAGTCCTCCACGTGGTAACTTTGAGACATTCATGTGGAGAGGTAGCGCAGCCTCAGTAGGAGGGTTAGAGCCCAGCCTGGTGGCTTACATATAACCCCAACTCTTGAGGGGCAGAGTCGGGAAGATTGATCAAGTTCCAGCCACCCTTGGATACAGGGAAATCTTTATCTGGAAGAAAAGAGGGAGGGGAGAGGAAGAGAAAAAGAGAAGGGTTGGGGGTATGGTAGATAGGTTCAGGATGGAGGTACATGGATTCTGGAAGCTGTTAGAGGTGTGAAGCTGGATGAGAGATCTGCGTAGCCCTTGTAGAGCATACTGAACACACGGCTCGCCGCCTGACTGCTGTCTCTGTCCCTCAAGCTAGGGGATGATGATGTGGCAGACAACTCTGCTCTCCGTGCCAGTGCCAAGCGCAGCTACCAGCCACATGGCCGTTGGGCAGAGCGGGCTGAGCAGGAGCCCCTCAAGACCATCCTGGACACCTGGGCCCTGGATTCCTACTTTACACCTATGAAGTCTGAGAATTCAGAGGACTCGGTTCTGGATTCATTGGAGCCACAGAACCTGTCAGGCCTGCTGAGTGAGGTACAGCCTTAACCCTCCCCCCCGCCAGCCGTCCCTGCACTGTGGCTGCCCACTCCAGGGCTGAGGAGAGGGTTCCAGGAGATGGTGAAGGCAGGAGGCTGAGCCCAGGCCCAGTATACAGTGTGATTTTTTTAAGACAAACAAACAGTCTTTGGTAGAGGATCACTTAGAGGTTAAGAGCTTGGGTCCCCAGAACAGGCCCTTCTTCTAAGTGGGGAGTATTCCAAGTGGGTAGAGCCTGGATTAGCCTCTCCCTGCCTCTGTGACCTGGGGTAACAGGCTTGCCTCTCTCTTAGAAAACTAAGAAAACTGTGCTCCCCGCTTCAGAAGACTCACGGATCCTTCTTTTCTAGAGGGCAGTCCTTCCCTGTCTTAATACATACATGTCCTCAGCTACCTGCGTCACCAGGGTTCTTGCCACCCTCACCACACACAGCATTTTGTACCTCCTAGAAAACCTCTTATGACCCAAGTCTGAGGGAGCCCATGTTCTGACCTCTCCCCATGAACTGGTTTGCCAGTGTTGTTGTTTTGAGGCAGGGTCTCATCATGTATCTCTGACTGGCCTGGAACTCAGAGACCATCTACTTCTGCATCCGAGTGCTGGGATTGAATGTGTGTGCCACTGCATCCACCAATAATGCTTTGCTTATTCTTGGCTGCTGCTCTGTGAACAGAGTAGGCCTCTTCTGGTCCCAGTCTGTACCTCCTCCTTATCTGTAAAGGGACTGTGGATGCCTGGCTGGAGGAGATCTGGTTGAGCGGCACACTTCACACTCTTCCTGACTTGGTGTCTGTCAGTGGGGTCTGTGGAATTATTCCTCTGCTAGTTGTAACATAACATGCCTTTGAGGGCATGGGTGTTCTGGACCCCTCAGAATGTCTCTGTTCTTCACTCTCAGTCAGAGAGTCCCCAGGAGGACCGCCGAGGACATCCCTCCTTCCTGCCTCTACAGAGGGAATCCACTGAGACAAGAGAACTCATCATCTGCTCCCCAGAGGCAGAAGTGACAGTCACAGGGATGCACAGGTGAATGTCCTATGTACCAAGGGAAGCCATAGCTGGAGAGAAGGATCCCCTTGTGATGGGCCCAGCCTGGAAAAACCCTTTACTCTTCCAGTGGCCTGTGGGAGTGGGCATGGGTGCACATGGGTCAGACGGACTCAGCTGCAGCCTCAGTTTCCTTGGTCCCAGGATAGATGAGGGGTTCTTGTAGGGGCAGGAGAAACTGAGGTGTGTTCTAGGAGCCGGGCGTGAGCGCCATGGCTCTGGCACAGGCCAGCTGCTGACACCAGTCTGACCCCACCCCGATGGTGCAGTGAGTACTACGAGAAGGAGGCCGAAGCATGACCTGAAGAGCCCCAAGGCGACTCCTATCTCAGGGTCTCCTCCGTCAGCCCGAAGGATCAGAGCCCACCTGAGGGTGAGTGGGGAGCCACAGGTGCCCTGGTGGTCTGCGATGGCGCCTTCTGGGCACTGGTAGTAGCCTTGGCCCAGTTCTCCAACATTCATGATGCCACAGAAGGTCAATGTGTCTCCTGCTGTCCTGAGGATGCTGAGCACCCAGCTCTGCCACTCAGGCCATGAAAGTGTGGAGCGGTACATGTCTCCACCATCCTCCACATGGGGAAACAAAGCCCAGAGCAGCTGGGTTATGTGCCCTGCTCACCCAGGATAGGCTCCTAACCCCTCTCCCCATGCTCTATTCCTTCAGACTCTGGGGAGTCGGAGGCTGAATTGGAGTGCAGCTTCACCGATGCCCATTTTTCAGCTTCACAGACTGACTCTGGTTCTCGCCTCACCATGACAATGCTCCATGAACCAGGTAAGTCAGGTGTAAACGCCCTGCAGCCCTTAGCTTTAGTTTTGTCAATGGAAAACTGGCATGTCCTTCTCAGCCTGGTGGCAACTAGGTGTGTGGCAAGTGAGTCTGGATCTCTCCATTGTTAAACAGTGGCGTCTGCCATGACTCATAGTGCTGACAGCGCCTCTCTGCACCCTGCCTCCCATGCAGAGCACCCAAGTATAGAAGAGCTTTCCCAGCCTGAAGTGCCGGGCCTGGCCAGTGGCTCCTTACCCCAGACCCCTGAGCAGGAGAAGTTCCTCCGCCACCACTTTGAGACACTTACTGACAGCCCTACTGAAGGTAGGACCTGACCCTGCACCCAGGTTGTGTGTGTGTCTGTCCAGTGCCGGGCATAGTGTGGCGGCTCCTCTCAGGGTCTCCTCCATCAGTTCAGAGGACAGAGCCCTCCTGAGGGTGAGTGGGATCAAGCGGGCATCCTTGTTGTGATGGCCCCTGGTAGGGTGGGGAAGGCAGACAATTTGACCTCTCACTTCACACTTGAGGCACGAGAGATGTGGCCAGGCCTGAGGCTCCATGGCTATCTTCTAGAGCTCTTTCATGGGTCAGTGGCAGACAGAAAGATCTCAGAGACTGATGACCATTTCTTCAATCCCCGGCTGAGTATCTCCACCAAGTTTCTCTCACGCCTCCAGAAGACCTCCAGGTAGAAGCTAGCGACCCTCATATTCCCCTCTCTCAGCCCTGCTGTGACCCCTTGGTAAGGCTTCATGAGCTTCTCTTTCCCACCTGCCTTCTTCCCAGGCTCCCTCCTCGGCTGCCCCCGCACCTTATGAAGTCTCCAGAGGTCAAGCCCACAGGCCAGGGGGGCAGCCAGCCCAGAGCAGGGTCCCTGAGAGCAGATGCTGGCTACATGTCTGCAGATGGGACCAATGTGAGTATTGGGGTCACTCTCTTGGGACACAGGGGTGCAGGCCAGGAGGGCTTGTTCTTATCGCAGAACTGCGCTTGCAGGTCCTCTCTGGGCCGAAGGCTGAGGAGACCCCAGAGGCCTCGTGTTTACCAAGTAAGTGTCCCAGATGAACAGCCCTGGGTGCCCAGCTGAGCCCTGGGAAGTATCCGTTCAGACTGTGAAGACGAGTGTGCAAGTGAACCATCTGCTTCCCTCACAGGCCTGGCGTCCTGTGTCCCTTCTCCTTCCGTACCACCCACAGACAGAAAGCCTCCAACACCCACATCTGTACCTACCCCAGTCCTGGATCAGAGTGTCTGTGCCCTCTCTACATGTTCTTACCTGGAGACGACAACTAGCTCACATGCCGAGATACCACATCGCATCTCTCTTGGGGACAGTGAGGGCCCTGTGGCAGCTGAGCTATCCAGGTCACTTCACAAACCCTTATCCTTGGGAGAACTGGCTTCCTTGGACCAGGAACCCCAGACCGTCCCCACCACAGTGACACTCACTTCTAGCCTCGGAGGTCAAGAGCCTGCTGTGCCTTCCTGGGGCAACCATGAGGCCCGAGCCAGCCTGAAACTGTCCTTATCCAGTGTCTGTGGCCAGCTCCTCGCCTCACCCCCGCTGGAGCCACCCACCACATGTGTGAGGTCTCAGGAACCTGTGGATGTCCAGCCTGGCATGGCAGTCACTGTAGCCAGCTTCCAAGCACCCAGCCCTGTAGATGTGAGCACCCTGAGACTCCACAGCTCTTTGTTTCTCCCAAAGACCTCTGCCTCTGGGCCCCTCACCCCTCCTGGCCATCCCAGCAACCTCCAACTTTTAGAGACCAGGTCTAGGCTGCCTGGTAACACCACTGCTCTCCTGGAGCCCACCCCCGGTGAGTATTGCTTGAGTACTGCCGCTGGGTACGGTAGAGCCCTAGCCCAGCCTGCGCTGCTGGACTCCTCTCCCTAGCTGTGGGGACTCTGCTGCTCATCCGTTCATTCACTCATTTACATAGTTAGGGGCAGTCCTGGGCCATGAGACGGTGGCAAACAAGAGGACAGGGAGTCAATTCCTATGCTAGGGGAGATACCCAGATCAAAATCTAACACATCACAAGGTGATAGCTACCTAGAGAAGTAAGAGAAGGGGGTTAGCAGTGTAGCTTCAACTTTAGGGTGTCAACAAAGGGATTTAGGGAGTTTATACCCAGCAGAACCCTGTGAGGAAGAGGAACCTTGGGGACTGAAGAAAGTGGTCCAGGGCCAAGAGTCGTTAGCCCAGCCACCTGGCCTCTCAGGCCATCTAGAAAGTAAGGCTATCTTGGTCATTTACTCTTCTCTACCCCAGGTACACCAAGTGGGATCCCAGGCAGCCCTGGACACTGCGGGGAACCTGGTCTACCTGCTGAGGTCCTGCCCCCACCACTCCCTGAGCTGGGCACTGTAGGATCCATCTTGCACAGGCTGCAGACTGCCTTTCAAGAAGCCCTTGACCTTTACCGAATGGTAAGCTAAGGAACCCAGGGCAGGGTAGGAGGATGGCAAGGGCTCCCTGGCAGTACCTGGATGTCTCCTGACAAGCTAGTCTCCTTACAGTTGGTCTCCAGCAATCAGCTGGGTGCTGAGCATCAGCAGGCACAGAGTGAGCTGGCCTCCACCTTCCACTGGATCCACAGCCAGCTGGAAGCCAACAACTGGATGGCTGCAGCTAACTCGGCTCCACCCCAAACACTGCCTAGCCCAGCTCTGCCGTCCCCACCTACACTATGTCCCCTGACCAGCCCAAACCTGCAGGCCCTGCTGGAGCACTACTCTGAGCTGCTGGTGCAGGCTGTTAGGAGGAAGACAAGGGGTGACTGATAACCTCAACCCCTCTACCAAATCCCTGCTGCACTGGAGAAATAGATTTTTATGCAAATAAACTGACTACACTAAATAAAGTTGTTTCCTGGAACCTGTGCTATCTCAAAGCCCTCGCTGGATGCAGAGTCCCCTGCATGAATGAAGCAGCCTGGACACTCAGCTTGGCTTCAGCACTAGGCCTGTCCTGTGGACGCCGACAGGGAAATGGGACCAGCAGTAATGATGAATGCCTGGCCTGCTTTCCCTCCCTTGTAGCCTATCCCCAGCATACTGATCTACTGCAGGGGTCATGTGTGTTCTTTGCCCATTGGAGCCCAGCTGTACCTAGGAGGAGCTAGCCGCCTTAACCCTATAGTTACTTATAAACCCACTGGAGCCACTGGTCATCATGGGTCTGACCCTGTCCTCAGTACATACACTCCTGGCTGACAGTCCTGGGCTAAATCCACACCGGAGCCTGCATGGTCTAGGTTGCTGCCTTCACTTCTGCAGCAGGGAAGTGGGAGACAAACACCACTGAACAATCTCGGCAGTAACCCCAAGCCACCCAGTGCTCAGGAATGGGACTGTATCCAGCTTCATTCTGTGAGCCACCAGCTCCCTCAGGCAGTAGGCATGCAGACACATAGTATGTCCCTAAGAAGGCCAGCCGGACAGTGGTGACACACCTTTAGTCCTAGCACTTGGGAGGCAGAGGCAGACGGATCTCTGTAAATTCAAGACCAGTCTGGTCCACTGAGCAAATTCCAGAACAGGCTCCAAAGCTACACAGAGAAACCCTGTCTCAGGGAGAAAAAAAAAAGGCCACTCGTGACCACACACATAACTGTTCCAAGTCCCCGTATAAAGGAACCCAGCAGAGAGGTCTCCTGAAGCACAGGGCCATCACCCAGCTTCATCCCATCCACCCTTAGGAAGGAAGGTCCACGAGCCTGATCTTGTTGAAGGTCCCTTTGTGGGTAGTCACAGGAGCTCTGATTAAGAGGATAATAGCCACAGGGGCTGGAGAGATGGCTCAGGTTAAGAGCACTGGCTGCTCTTCCAGAGGTCCTGAGTTTGATTCCCAGCAACCACATGGTGGCTCACAACCATCTGTAATGAGATCTAGTGCCCTCTTCTGGCCTGTAGGCATACATGCAGGCAGAACATTGTATACATAATTAATCTTTAACGAAAAAAAGAAAGACCAATAATATTAACAATTTATTTATGTAAAAAAAAGAGAACAGCCAGCAGTGGTGGCATTCACCTTTAGTCCCAGCACTTGTGGCAGACACAGGTAGTTCTCTGTAAGTTTGAGGCCAGCCTGGTCTCCAGAGTCAGTTCCAGGACAGCCAGGGATACACAGAGAAACCTTGTCTCAAAAGATAGGACACCTACAAAGCAGGATGGCTGAAAAACAGGATACCTATAAGATAAGAACAGGATATCTATTGCCAGACATCCATGCTGGGAGAGGAAAACCATTATGCCCCCCCCCCTCATTCCAACCGACCGATAACCATGCTTCTGCTTCTGTAAACTTGCTTTTTGCTGCCCTCTTTCCTATAAAAAGCCCTCCTCCCAGTCGGCAGGCACAAGTCCTCCGCAGGTACCTGTGTTTACCCAATAAACCTCTTGTGATTTGCATCCGTGTGGTCTTGGCCTGTTCCTTGGCTTGGGGAGGTCTCCTCCTTAGGGAAGGTCCTCATCTTCGAGGGTCTTTCAACAGGAGGCATGGTAGTGGACATAGGGTACCTGAGAAGAAAATAGCTCTCCCCGCTTGTGTGTCAGCCCCTCCTTTGCCACCACCATCTGTGCCCCATACCCACACTTGGCTTGAGACACCAACCTGCACAAGGGCACGGATCATAGTATGAAGTCCAGCAGGTGAAACATGGAGACACTTTAGCCCCATTGCTCGGCCAGGTCAGCCAAACTCAGAGCCTGCCCAGCCACTTCAGGACTAGGTATGTCCACCCTTGGCTGACGTCACACTGAGCATGCGCTCTGTGGAGACTAACATGCACCATAGCAGGAAGACACTTTACACCCGAATGCCGAATGGAGAAGCTGAGTGTGGACAGCACACACCTGTAATTCTATTATTCTAGCACATGGGAGGTAGAGACTGGAGGATCAAGAGTTCAAGGCTAGCCTCAGCTACATAAGTTTGAGAACAGCTGGATTGCATCAATCTTAGCATTTAAAAAAAAGAAAACGACAGCAACAATAAAAACAAGTTGAAGAGTTGGCTCCACAGTTAAGAGCACAAACGACTTTTCCAATGGGCACAAGTCTCACTCTCGACACCCACACCTGTTCATGTCCACCTGTAACTCCAGCTCCATGGGACCCAATGCCTCTGGCCACTGTGGGCACCTGCACTCTCATGCATCTCCACACAGACACACGCACACAAAAGTCATGTTTTTTTAAAGGCTCCTTGAGAGGCGACTTGTTCAGGTCCTACACTGTAGGACGTGCAGAGACAGTATGGCAAAGCTCAGCATGCAGGCAGGAAGCAAGCTTTTACCCTTGTAGGCCATGATGAATCCACAAGACCAACTCCTGTGCCAGTCACCTTCCCATCCTTATGAAAGTACCCGAGAAACAGGAAAGGTTTGTTTAGGCTGTGGTTTCCAGCTATGCTTGGCTGCCACGTTGCTGTGGGCCTCAGGCAGAGCAGAACTTCCTGGCTGTGGCAGAGAAGGCAGCTCACCTCATGGTGGCCAACAGCAGAGAGGCAGAGAGAGGTCTGGGGACGGGATGCACTCTTCACAGGTACATAATTCAGTGCCCCACTTCCTCCAGCCAGGCCTCACCACTTAGTTGTACCAATTCAAGAATGCCATCAAACTTCGAGTCCGTCAGTGGATTAATTCATGGGTGAGCTTGGAAAGCTCATGACCTGATCAATTCTCAATTGATTCATTGGCGCATGAGCCTTCAAACTTCTTACTCACATCTTAACACAAGGAATGCAAAGGAATCTTTCCTGGAATGGGATGTAATTTAATAGAGAGCTGGCCTGGTACCCCCTAAGCCCTGGGCTCCATCCCCAGCACCACAGAGAATGAGTATGGTAGCATATGCCTACAATCCCAGCACTTGAGAGGTAGATGTAGGAGGATCACAAGTTCAAGACCATCCTGGCACCTGGCGGTGGTGGTGCATGCCTTTAATCCCAGTACTTGGGAGGCAGAGGCAGGAAGATCTCTGTGAGTTCGAGACCAGCTTGGGCTACAAGAGCTAGTTCCAGGACAGCCTCCAAAAGCTACGGAGAAACCCTGTCTCAAAATAAATAAATAAATAAATAAATAAATAAATAAATAAATAAATAAATAAATAAAAAATAATAAAAAGACCATCTTTGGCTACATAGTAAGTTGGAAGCCATCTTGGGATGCATAAGACCCTGTTTTTGTTCTTGTTTTACAAGGGGTGGTGGTGGTGAGATGGCTTAGCAGGTGAAGGCATTTGCCATGCAAGCCTGGTAACCTGAGTTCAATCCCTTGAACCCAGGTTTTAGGGCTTCTATTGGTGTGAGTAAAACAAACACCAAGACCAACTGGGCTGGGTGGCACACACCTTTAATCCCAGCACTTGGGAGGCAGAGGCAGGAGGATCTCTGTGTTTGCAGCTAGCCTGGTTGACATAGCAAATTCCAGGACACCCAAGGCTACACAGAGAAACCCTGTCTCAAACAAAGAAACAAATAAATAAAACAGCGAAGATAACTGTGGGGAGAGTGTCCAGTATTCATGACTCCTAGTTCAGACATCAGATAAGGATTAATCTAGAACAGCCTACCTGGAGTGTAGTAAGTTCCTGGCAGCTCCAGGGATTGGAGGAGTCCTGTGAGCTCACTAGGAACTGGACTGTTGACAAACCAGCATTGTAATGCCCTAAGCTAGAAAGATGGATGCCATCTTCTGAAGTCTGAAGAACAGAGAGATCTTCCTGCCTGAGGAGGTTCAGCCTGTACCTTTATTTGTTAACGACCCATTCGGCTGTCACCCTACACCCGGAGCATAGAACAATCACAGCTGTGCCCACCCGCATCCTTGGACAGCTGTGTGATTTGAATAACCAGGCAGACTGATGATGTGTGTGGCGGAGAACGGACACGGGCTGATTTGCCTGGTAAACCGTCCCTGGAGTCCTTCACGGTGCCAGGACTGTGGCCATGTATCTTTCGTCTCTCCAGCCTCAGGCGCAGCCTAGGCTCTTCCCTCACTCAAGCCTCTCTGGGGGTCCTCTAAGTGTCTCAGCCCCTGGAGATTGCAGTGTTCTTTGGGAGCCTGGCCTAGGGAAGGAGCCATAATGGCAGGCCCTGGAGCAGAGGTAACGAGAGCCAGTTAAGGCTGCTCCCCGGACTTGTCCCAAAATTTGCATGAAGAGAATGAGGCTCCTCCGTGGGTCTCCTGACCTCACCTAGCTCTGCCTAGTTCTGGGCTGAGGTCTGACAGGCAGCAGACAGAGGAGGCAGTCCTGTGAGGAACCACTGCACCATCCTGACAGCAATGCCCCGGGTCTTCCTTGTGAGGAGCCGCCGTCCACAACCACCTAACTGGAGCCGTCTGCCTGACCAGCTCCGGGGAGATGCCTATATCCCAGGTATGCACCTCCCTGGGCCTGGCGGTGACGGGCCAGGGAGACAGACACAAGGGGTCACCCTCTAGCTTCTTTCCCCAGACTGCTGCAGCCTGGCAGTGCCACCAGCGCACAGATCTCCTGGTCTGAGAGACACTTGGGCAGCGGTAAGTCTGCGGCTGGCACGGGGACAAATTTCCACCCGCATTCGGGAAGCTGGCTGACCCTTACTCCAGGCCCTGTTGCACACACTTCCGGCCCAGGACCTTCTTCACTTGGCATGCCTCTCCTTTCCCAGCAGCCAGCTCAGTCCAGTCTCAGTTAAGACCTGCACTCCCAGGGTGTGTGTGTTGGGGCGCGGGGGGGGGGGGGGGGGGGGGGGGGGGGGGGCGCTGTAGGGCCCTGCTCCAGGGAGCTGTGTCCGGTGGGTGCAAACTAGGTGGAACGTGATTTACATCAACACTGGGTAAGGTAACAGAGATGGGGGCAGGGGCTCTGCTGC